CTCTATGTTGCATATCTTTAGCTGCAATGCCTTTTTTAGCTCTGCCTGTACATCCCATTCCTTTCATTTATCTTCCTTTTTTCTGCCTTTCTATTCTGCTCTTCATATCTATTTATCCCTTCTCAAAAAAATAGTTCACAACTTCTTGTGGCATATTCCACAGCTGACAGTTTGTGTTTGGCATAAATGAGTGGACTCTGTGCAATTGAAAAAAAAATCCCAACTGGGTTTAGGTGGAGTTGCTTGTGGTATAGATAAAGACCAAATTGGTTTGTTAGATGTGTTAAGTCTAAAATTCAGAGCATGATAAGGAAAGGAGTGTATAAAAAGGAAATCTACTTGGTATTTTGGAAAAACTTCCAGCTAGTACCTTGATATTTCCAAATACTGTCTTATTTATAAACCAGAACTGCAAAGATGCTTGCAAATGAGTGAGGCTCATAAAGAAAAGAATCATGATGACATTTCAGCTCCTCAAGAAACTATGCCTGCTGAGTGAGTGTGTAAGGATGAACTCACAGTTAGAAAGCACAGTTTGTAATCATAGCCTGTGATTCTTTTCTACCTGCACCCCAAATTGCTTGTAATTAACCTAATTTCTCCCTTTCTCAGTGGCTGTAGCAATACAATCTTGAAAATAAAATTATAAAGCACAATTTTGTTTCTCTTGAAAAAGAGTGTAGTATCCATTTGTGGAGAATCAGTTTAGACTGAAAGTACTTTTTTTCCTCTTCCTTTCTTTTTCTCCTTCCCATAAAAAAATAATAACACTCCTGACCCCTCTTCCATCTTCCTCATGTTCTAGCTATTTGTCAGTATATAAATTCTTGGGTATGGCAGTATTTCATGCACTATCTTCAGCTTCTCTGCAATTCTGTCCTGTCATTTAAGTCCAGTCCTGTGTTCCTAATGTCAAACTAGTTTTGTTCAATATGACCAGCAAGGTAGCATATGTTTCCACGCTGAGTCCCATTGCCAGTTCTGGAGGTATCTCTCATTAATCAAGAATCACTTTGTCATAGTGCAGCTAAAGTTGTCACCAAACTTTAAGTACAAAGTTTGAATAATAATGACTCCTCTTTTGTTAAATGGAGTTAACACAGATGAATAGCTTCCCTGATGGTTTATTATATTAGTCTTTTAGAACATTGACTGATTGTTTTTATTACCATGAAAGCTTTTGTCTTATGAAAATTACTTGGGACCACAGGTCAATGTTTTTCATGTCACATCTCTATAAATAGTACATTGCTTTATTATACTTTGTATTCTCCACTGCAACCTGTACATCACTTAAATTTATTTGTCATGATACTACTGCCAGGCTGCCATTAAATTGTTAAAGTATATTCAGGAAATGTTGTTGCAGTAACCTTTAGAGGAAGACATATGGAAATGGACTATATCTGTTAATTAACATTTCGAACTGCAAACCTTCCACAGTATAAGGCCTGGTATGAATCACTACACATGACCAGAATACTTAGAGGGGTGATGATCATGTTTTTCCTGAGACAACAGATCCTTCAAGTTCAAATTGCCTGTCTGTCTATTTAAACTAGGAGACCAAACTCTTACAGAACAAAAATGAAGTCTAGAGATCAAAATATGTCTTTCTTCTGCCAATTCACACCAGTGTCAAAACAAAATGGCCTGTGATTCTTGTCTGTCTCAACAACATTTAAAAATTGCAACTCATAGAAGGAAAACAGAGAACATAAGGGATGCATAAGAAAGAAGAGAGCCCATGGTAGAAGCTCCTGAGGTGTTTCAGGTTAAGCTGAACCAGGGATCCCAAATCTTAGATACATCACGCTCCCCACTGGAGAAGGCAGTGACAGAGATATTGCTATGACTGAGCTGTCTCGTGGTGCTTCCAGGACATGTCCTGGGGATAAAAAATTGGACTGCATGCAGATAAGCTGGAGCTGGGGAGGGTTGAGCTTCCCTGTTCCAGACACTGGATCTCTAACAAGATTGGTGTGTTAAGGGATATTTAGAGCATTAATTGTTCATACTTCAAGGTTGGTCAGAATTCCTGAAACTGGAGTTCTTAATGCTGATCCCATAGTAATATAAGTACCTGAAGATGACATAATCCAGCACTGAAAGAGGATACATTGATTCCCTGACATGGTTTGGTGTGGGGTTGCATAAATCCCTCTGGTAGCATAAACTAGCACAGGAACATGCTGAATGTTTGAAGATGGCAGAGACAGGGATCTGTGTGCATCAAAACATGTTTGGAGTTACAGTGGGAGCAGTAGTCCCAACAGGCAGCTGCTGACAACATGGAATAGTGATAAAAGTAAAGTGAGGCTGAAGCAGGACATGTGCTTGCAGCCCATGCAATATGCTTAGGTGAAAACATACATGGATAAGTGTGAAATGTGTGAAAAGCAAAATGTCAGACAATGAAAGGAAATCCACAGGCTAGAGGAGACAGAATTGTTTGCTCTGAAAAGAATGATGTTATCCATCAAATCTGGCAGAAACCTCAAATATTTCCAGGTTTGAGCTACCTCACCCCACTGCATGCAAATCAAGAGCTGCACAACAATCTGAGCCTAAAAAAGAAAGAAAGAGGTGAAATGAATACAAGCTTTTTCTTCCTGTGGACATTAAGGTAACTGGAGGAAATTGAAAATTTGTGGTGAACTCAGAAAAAAGACTGATGGCTTAATAAATTTTTTTGTATTTTCCCAAGCATTAGATTTCATAGAAGGCACTGTGAATTCTGTTGTGTACATGTGGCTAGGCTATGTGGCATGTGAGTATGCTCACAGCACCTCTACAAGTATTAGTTTGTTTTCATTCTTTTGGGTTATTGCCTGGCAAAAACAGTATAAAACAGGTTGCAGGAACTCTATAATCAAGCTTAAAATATTCAGAGAATGCAGCTGCGGAATTACATATTTGAGAGGCAATACTATTAAAAAAGCAGAAATATAGGATGCCAATATAATTATTGTTTCCACTGTTCCATTTTTCACTGTTGTCTCACTAGGTGAAAAGCAAACCAGAGGCTTTGGAAAGAACTGCAGTGTATCTTTCATGCAGGTTACTTCTCACTACAGTGTATTTCAGCATCCAAAATTGCACTTCTGGAACGGTTCTTCCTAATTCATCTGCTGCTTTCAATAGAATTATTCTTTTTCATTACAGCTTATAAACTTAGGGCTAACCAGTCTCACAATTTCTTGCTTTTCTCAAAGCAGTTTCTCTATGTGGATGGCCACATTTTTCTTTAATTTTGGGGTAGCAGTAAAGCCCTAACTTGTTTAAGTATTTGAAGTTTTTACTTGGCTTGGATGAAATAAAACCCACTGTAACAGACACAGAAAAAGAGAAATTGCTTTAAGGAATATTCCAATGCAGTTCACTAACCATTAAGTATTGTTCTACTTTTCTAAGCTTAAATCTCTACTGACATGAATCTTTTATATCCTGCAGTGCAAGTTGTACTACTTGGATAACTAACAGAGTTAAAGCAGTAGTTTCATTAGACCTGAGAAAGTTTGGAATTGGTTGGGATTGTTGAGCAATTGAATCTCCACTTTGTGGCAGTGGAAAGTCTTTTATGTTTTAATAAACAAATATTCTTTAATGTATTCCTGAACTTGATTTTAGCCATCATTGGTTAAAAAAAAAAAAAAAAGAAATGTGTTTTTGATATAGCAATTTGAAGGTATACTTTTTGTGTAGTAGTACGTATTTGTTCCTCTTTTTATCTATGGCTTTTAATTTGAGTTTATTAGCATGGAAATTAGAATGAATGATGTTAAATAAGATGAGCAGACAATGACAGAAGAATAGATGGGAACTGTGACTGTCAGTGGCAGTGCTAACAAAACCATGGCCAAATGTTTTCTACATATATATAATACTGTGCCAAATTCAGCAACTGTTTATGGAAATTATGTATACTGAAATATGACATGGCTTACCTGAAGTAGGACAAACCAAAACTGTTGAACATTTTATTTATTTAAAAATATACTTCCTAAAACAAATCACATTTTTCCCAAAATGGGTCCAAAAGATATGCTTTTATTTTGCTGAGAACTCCAAGTTGGTCTTTGATGAACTTCATAAGGTTTCTGCTGTCCTACTTCCTGAGTTTTATATTATTTTGGGTTGTGGCTTGGTATTCCAAGAAATAATAGCAATAATTCCCCTAAAATGGACATGTGTTAGCCTTGTTTCTACTAACAGAAACATTAGGGCTCCCCTCTGACTGCTGCAGTTTCTCCCAGGTGATGGGCAGCAACCTCCCAGTTGTGTTGGGTGGACACCTCTGTGGAAAACCAAAGAACAACCCTTACACTGAATATATCCAGGCTGTGGGCAGCTCCTGGACTACTGCTCCCCTGCTGATGATTGCCCCTCTTCTTTGCAGAAACACAAAGGTCCAGGAGCAGGTTTTGCCTGTGAAAACAAAGGCAAAAAAGGCATTTAACCTTTCCACTGCCAGTTCTTCACTTCCCTTCAGCACACCTATTTTTTCACTGATCGTCCTTTTGCAGGCTCAGGGACTTGCAGAATCCCTCTTTGTAAAATCTTTGAGCATCAGATGGTTTTTGTCTTCCTTGATTTTGTCCCAAAATATTAAGTTGTGATTGTTTTACTCCCTTTCTTGCTTACATTCCTTGTACATTCACATTTTGTATTCCGTGACATCAGGTTTCCTAGGCCAGTGACATCAGGCTTCCTAAGCCAGCTAACACTTTCCTTTTCACTTGTTTTGCCTGTTGAAATATCCTATAAATAATACCTTGTGTAGTATTTTTCTCTTAAATGGATAGATTGTAAAAGAAGAAACAGTCTGAAAAAGAAAATTTCAGTATAAACAATATGTTCGACAATATCATAATAAAATGCAGAAGTTATTAACAGAAATTGTAGTCTCTAGCAAAAAAATGTTTTTCTGCTGTTGATAAACTGAATTATTTTTTCTTGGTCAGTTTGTTACAAACCTTTTCTCTTCCCACTATCCATAGGGAATGAATACTGTGTACCCAGACAGCAATAAACCTTCAGCTGCTGACCACTGACAGAAATCTATAGACCACCAGTTTGGGAAACCTCAGCTTTAAACTCTAAATGATTCAACATTTGTGTAAGTCAGACACATTCTGCTATTATGTAACAAAATAATTTTACATCCATGTTCATTGTAATGCTAAGAGCTTCAGACAGTGTACGAACTGTTTACTCTTACAAATTGTCTCTCTAATAATTAGGTGATAAAATTGAAAGTGCTTGTGAACTCTAGATATGTCCTCAAAATGTGCAGGAAAAGCTGTGTGCTGGTTCCAGGCTGTTAAAGAAATCCATGATACATTTTGCAGTGCTTACATGGTTTGGGTTGGGTTTTTTTGTATGAAATTTCAGCTTAAAACAATATTACTAAACAACTAAGGTCCTATTATATTGATACTTAAGGCAAGGCTCAGATATTTTTGTTTAATAATGCAAATGACATATAAAATGTACAGAGCTGAAAAACACTCAGAGAATGTTTTCTTTTTTCCCCTAACCAAGTTGACTATTTCAGGCAAAGTCAAATATTGGTATTTAAATTTTTATTTCCTCTGTTGCTCTGTCCTTTTTTACTTTACAGTGAGAGCTACTATGGAAATGCAAAAGTATTACAAGGAGAGACAATTTTGACTAATATAGGTTGAAGTGTTTTATGAATGGAAACAAGCTGTAGAGAAATCACTTAAGTCACTGTTGAGATGCATTCATCTCTGGTAGTGCATAAAAGTTAATTAACAGTGCAGTGAACTGGAGGCAATTCAGAGAGAAACATTATTAAATGGGGATGTACAAAGAAAGTGAAATGCCTTTCAGTTTACTGGCTAAAGGTAGATAAGTATCTGCTAATGTCTGTAAGTGACCTTGACAGCAAGGAGGAACAGTCTGACTGGAGATGTTCCTTGGGGTGTTCTCTCTGTGGAGTGATGGGATAAAAGAACAGGTGATCAGGTTGTGATGTGAAAGACACACACACATCCTTTTCCATCCTAACTTCTGGCAGCTATTGAAGCTGCATCCATATAGCCCCTATATGCAGAAAACATCTTACTAATTGAGCACACTCATACAGGGCCACCTAATGTAAATTGCAGTTTTCTGTTGTATATATAGCAACTGAACGTAGAGAACAGCAAAAGCCACTGAGGAGTGGATACTGAATTCCAAACATGGATAGATTTCAAGACAAGGAAGAGCAAAGCCATTGCTTTGTGTATTTAAAGCTAAACTAGAAACTACTGCTTTAGAATATTTTGAGAACAGTCCTGCTCTCATGAGGAGGTAGACTTAAAACTCTAAATCAACCTTTTTAGACTGTACTTCTTGTTATGGGATGATAGAGTTTCCTATTGCCAGCCCTAGATAAACTCACAAGAGTTATTAACCTCAAACATCTATTTCCATGGACTTTCCTGGTTTTATTCTGGTTACTCCTTTGTCGGGACAATTGTGCACAGAACACACTATTTGGTGGAAAATAGGTGATTAAACTGTGCCTGCTCCTGAAAGCTGAATTTTCCTATCCTTAGTTTTCTTACCATTTTCTAGATAGATTTGGGATATGGAGTTTGTGAACAGTAACAGGTAATAACTGATGTGATCAAAGACAACTAGAATTCAAGACAAACCTCAAATTTATCTTGATTGCATGTCTTCTGCTTTCTTCTCTCCTAGATTTTTCAGGATTTTCCATTGCTGTAGGTTCTCCATGCATGTAATACAAGTTCTTACATCACTGTCAGAATTATGAGACTTCAAATTTTAGTCCTATTTCTTCCATTCAAATGGTAAAATAAAATGGATTGATATGCATCATTATTCAGGTTAAGAATAACTAATATTCAAAAAAAAATTTCCATTTCATCCATGATCAGTTAACAGAAGCTCTCTTTCTCTATTGATATCCAGAATGACAATTTAAAAGTACTGAATCTCATTTTGAATATAAAAAAGTTGTAAAGCTATTGGCTTGCTCCTTGCTCATTTGAACTGAACCCTTGCTGTATGCCTCATTGGCTAACCAGGAATTCAAAGAGTTCACATATAACTTGCTGATGTTTTGATGAATGACTGAGCTCTGAGATGAAGGTCCAGAAGAACTCCTGGAAAAGTGAGCACTGTAGCAGCTGGAAGCAAAGTTGTGGGAGCTGGATGTTTCCACTTACCCATTTTTCTAGACTCTGTGAGCTGGCAGTCAGTTGGCAAAAGGAGGCAGAAATATATTCTTCAAAATATTTCTATTCAAATGAGTAAAAGGATGGTGTAAAAATAAAACAAGAGTGAGAGACAGGAAGATAGCATGAAAATAGCAATTTGAGTTATTGTCACAAGGGAGCATTACACATGGCATCACATAATGCATGAATTAATCATCACAACATTCTTTGGAAACGAAGCAGAAAAGTACAGAACATGACAAGAATTATATTCAAATGCAATAAAATCTTATTTGAAAGTTGTTTACATTTTAAAAAGTAGATCAGTAAATTAAGGGTAGATGAAACTGGTTTGTGAAAATTCCAGGAACTTAAATTCATCCATACAGTGAAACTAATTCAAAGCTGATATATTTTCCTTCATAAGGTTGATTGCAGCAGGCTCCCCCTCCCTGGAGACTGGGTCCTGTGCAGCATTCTTTAAGAGAGCAATGCTGGCAAACCAGGCTCAGACAGTGTGAGTGAATTTAGGTGTCTTTGCACCTTACATGGCTCCTTCATGGCTGTCATTTGAAGTGCTGGCAGAGCACGGTGGCTGCACTGTTACCTGGATTGCACAGTGTGACAGATTGTCACCAACCTGTGACACCCAAAAGAGACCCTCCCACCAATGCTCCCCATTGCTTCTGATAAGAATATCTTTACTTTGCCAACACTGGCTGTTGGACTTAACAGAAAGGGGCCAAGTGGGGCTCCCCATGGGACTTCCATCCTCGTGCTAATCTGGAACCAGGAAAGAGAAAAAAATGAGGAAAGACAAAATCAATAAAGGAAATTATTGGAGGAAGAAAATCATGAAAGCAACAGAGGCAAACCAATTAAAACAAAACAAAAGAAAGGAAGGTTAAATTCACTCCATGGGCCAGAGCCATCCCTGGAACTTCAGCAATGCAGCCCTGACCATAATGGATATCCTGGTGGAGTTAAAGCATTCCCTGAAACATGACTTTTGTCATGATACATGATGACATCTTCTAAAAAACAGTTGTGTGAGGTGTGCTACCCAGCCTTCCCAGAAATACTGGGACCTTCCAGTTGATATGGGTCATGATGTGGTTATAGGACTTAAGTGCTAAGCCTTCCATATATCCCTGAAATTAATTCAACTGCTGTGTACCAAAATCTAATTTATTTCCTTATCATCTTCCAACCATTAAATTGCTAGAGCTGAGTTGTGTAAATGCTTTAAAGAAAGGCAGCTTCTAGTCACTAAGGAATATTGCAGAAAATTTGCCTTCTGAGCATGGTTATATAACACCCACTTATTTTAATTAGACTTTAGCTCTCAAAGTCCCACTTTACCTAAGTGGCATGATCACTGAAACACAGCAGAGATCTGTGATAGCAAATGCAATCTATCTGCTCCTTTCAGCAGTGACTTCTCCTTTAATATTATGTCTCTCTGGCATGTGAGCCCCAAGCAGCTACTTGCAGTGTTGTCTATTATTAGTGCTTACTCAGAATGGGTCTTGTTCTCCAGCAGAAGTGCAAGAAATGTTTGTGTAAGCATTGCATAGCTTTAATTTTCCTACAGAAGAGTGGTCCTCAGGGAGGAGAGTCAAATAAACAGCAGCTTAAACTGTACTCCAGGTAGCTGAACGCCAGGAACAGGACCTAACCAAATTACTCACAAAGTGATGCTGATGTTAGTCTTTTCTCAAGCAGAGACAATGGGGTTTTTTTTAAATAAGTAAATTCCAACTAATTAAAGGTTTCCCTTCCTTCCATTCTAACTTGAAATTTTTGCTGCAATAAACTCTTGGGCAAGCATGAAAAAGGTATTGTGATTAAATCCATTAAGTCCTCAAGCCCTTCAGCCAACTGCCTCTTCTTCCTACGTTTTTTGTGATGTGTCCTCTTGTAGAACATAGAGACCCATTTGTCCAGGCACTGAATGAATACTATTTCAGTGTACAAACCCAAAAAGAAAGCCAAATTGTACGTTTGTAATTTCCTAAAAGGATAATTTGTGTATATAGGTGGCAACAATACCTTTCTGGTTTTTGTGTTCTTGCTCTTCTAACTAAGCAGAAGAAACACTTTTTTTCCATGTAATCATGGCAAGTCTACAGGAAATTCCTGATAATTGTGCTATGCTTTGTTATGATGATGAATTACTGCACATATTTCTGCCATATCCATTAGTCTTACTTTTCAGTCTTCACCCTGCATGTGCTCTGAGATAAATTGGACATTGAGACTAAAAGGCAACATCATCATGAACCAGATTGTTTTAAGGTCAACTTTTTTATCTTGCTTTCTGACATCAGCTGCTCTTTTAAATCTGAAAATGGGAGGCATCACATTTTTTTCTCTCACTGTCTGATTTAGAGACTGAATGCTTTATAGAAAATGCCATCCCTTAATAAAAAAGCAAGAACGAATTCCAAGAATAAGTACCTTACAAAACCAAACAAAAAATCCAATCCTACATGCAGATAAAACAGTCTTGTATCAAAAAGGAAGTGTGGGCTCTGCCTGGAGGGAAGAGATATAGCTGATAAAAATTCAGGACTGTATAGACTGGTAGGGGAATTTCAATAAACCTCTTTAGGAAATGAGAATAAGCACGGAAATAATCAAATGACACAAATCATAGTGAGCGTTTTCAGCAGTTTGTTTTACCAAGTGGATTGTTTACTTCTCAGAGCAGTCACTGCAGTCAAGCAGGGAAAGAAATGCAGTCGAGCATCTGCTACGTGTCTTCTTTATCTCAGTGGACACTACATTTTTTGCCAGACATGATGCATACACACAAAAGGCATGTTGGGAAGAAGCTCAAAGAATTTGCTTAGTCATCTGGAAATATCTAGTCTAAAAGAATACTTAACCACCAAATGTATAACTTATATCAGGAGCTATA